ACATTTTGTTTCTTACAAAATTGTTATTTCCGACTGTTTTCTTTCCGTTAAGCGGATTCGTCAAGGGTCTTTATATAAAACTCGAGGGAATGAGTTTGCGGCTGAATCGTGATGTTTGATCTTCTTTTTGGGAAGGTTGATATAATAAATATTAACAGAATTCTTCGTTCCAAGAGCAGTTTTGCTTTGAATTGAGAAATGGAAGTGAAACTTCCGCAATTTCGTACGCGATACGTGGCTTTAAAAAGTCAATAAGAAATGCTTATCGACTAAAAATTAGCAGTACCCTAACCGTAGAAAAGTTTTGCAGACTCCATGACAACAAAGTGTTAATTAACAATATTTATTTATTTATTCTTTATTGCATTCCTTAATATAGAAGATGTATTCTTGTATATAAAGGAATGCAGGGCGCATTTAATGCCTTGAGGCATTCTCTACCAGTCAACCCGTGGTGTGGTGAGAATTTGACGTAGGTGTATCATACAGGTATATATACAGGACACAGAAAAACAAAGTTACTACTAATATTATATCAAGAAAAAAGTAGCAAAAAAGATTTGGTAATAATTAGAAACGCTTTTAAAAATCTACTTAAAAAACTAAGTTCACTACATCATAATAAAATCGACGAAAATATTTACTATAATATCAACTATCAAAATTGTCGACAAAGTATCTCCCTTTATTATTTGATTGACTGATGAAGAGCTATCTTATCATAAAGCCTAGATGGCTTCAAACAAGGCTATACTTTTTGAGTTATATATAACAGAAAGTGACCATATTAACCGGATGACTATATTACCCACACGTACTATACATATCAATATACATGATATTATGCTGTATAGAAATATCTCTTAATTAAACGTATATACATATCAATATATATAATATATAAATAGTACATATAAATAACTGTGAGTATATACATCTGATAACAATATACATTACATATACATATGAAATGGATGACTGAAGGAAGCAGCGTTGTCTTTACTAGATGATTACTAACCAATTTTTTAAAAGAAAAATTATTGGGAACTTTTCTGATTACATCAGACGAGTTCCCTGAACGCGTGTGGCGTGAACTTCAAAGTAGCTACCATAGAACTCAGTGAAGTGAACAGGAATACATATAAAACATTATTTTATACATTTGTTGCCAGAAGAAGAACTTAGAACCCTATTAAGAGTTGAGGAATGATAGTGAAATTTACTCTTAAGATAATAAGGTGAAAATGAGTCATTTATTATGGAAAAAGAATAAGTGATATTCTGGAATTGCGCGTCTGCTGGATTGTAAGCCAATTAAGCATAGGTCTATATTGTGAAATATGGTCATACTTACGAAGCCCTAAAATAAATTTATACAGTTATTGAGGAGTTCCAGCTTGTTTAAAAGATCCTGGGACAGATCCGGGGAACACGCATATGCATAAAAATTATGGGTAATACGAGCGATTGAACAAGCATGGTGTAAGACTTTGTGGGAAGAAAATGTTTTAAACAATACAGAGAACCTAAAGTGGCAATGACTTTACGACTCACTTCAGAAACCTGACATCTCCAATTCAGTGTGCTGTCGATGTGTAGGCCAGGATTATTTACAGAACGCAATTGTAATCCCATTATAAGATAATTGATAGAATCAGGCGTTACTTTGCGGAAATCCATTATAATAAAAATATTAATTAATTTGCAACCTTCCGCTAACTAAATACAATGATGTGTCTTACCTGGATTGAAGACCACCTCCCGCTCTCCCTCAATTGCGTGCACTAATTCCGTCACCACTAGTCTCAGCACCACTACTTCCGGCACCACTACTTCCAACACCACTATTCCAGGTAAGACACACCATCGACGATAATACTAAACGTGTTTCGCCTCTACGCCTCTTCAGTCCAGGTAAGACACATCATTGTATTTAGTTAGCGGAAGGTTGCAAATTAGTTAATATTTTTATTATCCCATTTTAAGAAATAGGAGGTAAGTCTACAAGATTAATCTTGGCTAGCGTCCTTGAGCCTCTATACGAGGCATCCTCAGGTAGGCACACAATGCCTCATGTCGAGGCGAAACACGTGTCGTATTATCGTCGATGGTGTGTCTTACCTGTAATAGTGGTGTTGGAAGTAGTGGTGCCGGGAGTGGTGTTGCTGGGACTAGTGGTGACGGAATTAGTGCAGGCAATTAAGGGAGGGCGGGAGGTGCTCTTCAATCCAGGTAAGATACATCATTGTATTTAGTTAGCGGAAATTTGCAAATTAATTAATATTTTTATTATCCCGTTATAAGAAATAGGAAGTAGGTCTACAAGATTAATCTTGACTAGCGTCCTTGAGCTACCCACATGTGTAGCTTAGCATTTTAATGGATTGACCAACACTCCATAACGAGTAGACCAATCTTTGATACCTGATAAGTTGTCATTTAATATTTAATCCCATTTTGGATGTGCCCAATTTCAGTAAATTTGAAGGTCATCGGCATACATATGGTACGAGCAATCGAAAATGGAGGTAATAAAGTTTATAAAAATTGAAAAAAAAATATTGGAGAAAGAATACCGCCTTGCGGCACACCAGCTTCTACATCAGCCCAGGTTGAGTTTATTTGCCCCACACAGACTGATTGCTGTGGACCGCGAAGATAAGATGCAAACCATTCCAAAGCAGTAGGTCAAAAATTTAGATACGACAGTATGGATAGAAGGATTTCGTGATCAACTGTGTTGAAAAAACTTGAGAAATCAAATAGTACCAGTACTGTAACTTTTCCTCTTCTATACCTTGTCTAATACCGTCTGTAACCTTAATTAAAGCAGTAGTGGTACTATGACTTGGACGAAACCCGGACTGATATATACTCAGTAGATTATATTAGGAAATAAAAGTAGAAATTTGTTTGTAAACACATGATTCAAACATTTTGGAAAGAAAGCGTAAAATGGATTGGAATTAATGGGAGTAGGAACTTTTAGAATTTTTCCTCTTCTGAATTATCTTTCTGAACTTTCCCAAAGATTAGGAAACTGATCTGAATCAAGAGAAAAACTTTTAATATGGGAAATAGCCGGAAGAAGGTGCTCTGGTATATATTATACTACCATGTGTCTACTATTCTCAACATAACCCACCGCCTTGGACTGAATTGCTAAAATAGACTAGATGTTAAAAATTAATAAGCTAAAATTCGAATAATAAAACAAAATTATGCGCCTTATTTTGTTTGAAGAGCAATCCGCTTAAAACTTACAACTACAAAACACTTACTCGTAGTGAGTGCTTTTTAAGCTGAGTAAGACACATCATTTTAATTTATTACGCAGATCTTAGCTTATTAATTTTTAATATCTTTAATATATCCACAAAGCCTTACGGTATTAACGGCCTAAATTTGTAAGCTGAAGTGGCAATAAGCCGGCCATATAACCCGAAGAACCGACAACCAATGGGGAGTAAAGATTCTCGTGTGACAGTCTCGTATCGGCAGGCAGAATGTATGGGGTCCCCCCACTAAATTGGGTGACGATCTGGTAAGACATGCAGGAAGTTGATAATAAGTGAGTAAACTAAAATCTATTTCACAAAAGAAGTAAAAATATACGATCTACTCGTAAAATGAAAAGTAATTGACAGGAAATGTCAAAATGTCGCTAAGACTTGCGCAACGAATTAGGGACTTCTTTAGTTAAGAGACTTTTCTTAAACCATTGTTTAAAAGCCCGAGATCGTCAATAAACATAGAATACTATAAATTATACATAATAGAACGGGGGAGTGGGCGGAGCCCGTGTAGCCACTAAAATGCCACTAACACGTCCATTCACACGTATAAATGTCAACACGAGATGTGTGTTCGCATGAAAATTATTTGAAAAATGCCAAATTGCACACTATTTACAAATAAATATGTATTTTTTTAATGATGATCTTCAACATTAATCAAAAGTTTAAAATGTGTAAATTTACTCAGTCTCTCAACACAGCGAATCGGGTTTGTAGTAATAATAATGTCCTCCAGACCGAATATCGGCCACGGCGGCCTACCTCAACTGAGACTAGCCATCGGCGCAGGACAGGATTATAGTGCTCGTGTGTATGTGCAAGCGCAGGTGCACTCTCTATTCCCTCACTCCAATAATCCGATGGGACGATAAACCGACGCGACCGGAAAGAGATCAGGCACAGGACCAACGGCTTTACGTGCTTTCCGAGGCACGGGGGTGAGACACCGCCTGACTGACTTCCTGACTCCGGGCAAATACTGAGAATTTCTTGACGAAAAAACTCTATAATTAATTTTGTGGCCCAACCCGGGATTCGAACCCAGGACCTCATGATCAGCAGCCGCATTACAACAACCACTAGACCAACGAGCCAGTCGGGTTTGTAGTAGTGATATTACGACGTAATTGCTTGTGTGTGTGCTCCCGGCAACACCAATCCTCGTAAAAAATAAGGTTGACAGCCATTCTTTTGTGTATTGTAGTATTCTATGTCTTTTGTAATATGAAATAAAAAGCTTTAAGTCGTATAAAATATTTACTAACAATTAATAAATAGGTGTTATTTAAAAATATCGAAAATCGAAACATGTGATAAATTGCCTTAAATTTTCTGAACGGAATAAGAAAATTTATAAATTAACTTTAACTAAACTGTTGCCATGTGACTTGGCGCCCAACAATCTCTGCTTAGAATTTTAACTAGGTGATAGAGATCGGAAATCCCTAAAGCCTGCTCTAACACAATACCGCGGTAAAGCGGATATTCGCATCTTATTTTAGTCCTTCTTAATAATTTAGTCACGGCTCCGAGTTCCCAGGTAGAAAATTGGAAATTGTGTCATTCTTTGGAGATGGTTCAGGAATCACGTCTTTTCAAAGACTTTTAGATTTTAGAGCAGTATACGGAAACAAGTTGATTAGAGCTCTTCATATTTTAAACAAGATTTATTTCAAAGTCTTTTAATTAATTTTTGTTTTACAGAAGCATGTGAAAAGACATTTTGTCGCTGGGGTGCTGAGTGCGTGTCTCTGGGAGACGGGCGTGCGCATTGCGCCTGTCCTGTGACTTGTCCGTCCGGTTCAACGCCAGTTTGCTCTACGGCAGGCCGCACATACCGCAATCACTGTTACCTACGCAAAGAAGCCTGCGAGCGAAGACTCAATCTGCGCGTCAAACACGAGGGTGAATGCGGTCGGTATAAATATTATTAATATAACTTTAATTAAATTTGGACTTGGAATTGAAACTTTCTGAATGACATTTTTGTTTGATGGTCTTTTTATTGAATAAGGATTACAAACGAGCACATGGTATAGTAAGTGGATGCTGTGGTTCATAGAAATCTACATTTCTCCTCGATTGAGAATCAAAATGCAGACGCCTTGTAACCCTTAAAGACTAAGATGGAATGCCTCGGATATTCTGTGAGAGCGTGGTCCTACCCCGGTCGTGTCGACCCATTCATGCTACAACCATAATATAGCTGCAGCGTGGTAAAGCCATAAAAGGTATTAAATTTTACGCTTTATACCGCGAAGTATTATTAAGTAATGCTTTACTCTCTACACGTCAAGGTCAAGCAATTTTCATTCTTAAAATGCTTCTATCATAAAAATATTGCACTTATACCATAATTTGAGTAGCCGCATATTAAGAAAACACTAATTAATCCATCTTATATTTCCTAAAAATCATTTTATTCCAAAGTACCGTTTCTTTTTACAAAGTAGCAATTACTTTGAAAAAAAAAATTTAAAAAATTTACGTCGACATCCGAGTGTTGATTTTATATGTTTTTACGATAACTCCCAAAAAGTGTGACGTATCGAGACGGTTTTTTTATTAGCTTCAAAATTACATCAACTGGTTCCGTATTTCATATCAATAGCCTAGTACCCTTATTTTGTTAATAAAATGATTTTCAAATTTTATGTTATTGCTATTAAAAATTAATATAATTAATGGACGCATCTCGCGTGCATACGTCCCGATGACGTACGGTGCGCACTTGCGCGTTTACCGCCGAAGTCTTCGGCGGGGCCCGATGGTATTCCGGCGTTTATTTTTAGGGACTGTCGTGCAGTATTAGTAAAGCCGTTGCTTCACATTTTGAATGTTTGTATTAAGGCTGCAAAGTTTCCTGATCGTTGGAAATTCACTCGGGTAGTACCCGTGCCGAAAGGTAGCAGAGGTTCAGCCCCCAGTGATTATAGACCCGTGGCGGTATTATGCACTCCAGCTAAAGTTTTTGAGTCGACCATTCACAGTAGTTTGTACGCACAAATAAATGCTCTGTTGTCCGACGCACAGCACGGCTTCCGTCCCGGGCGAGGGACAACGGGGAACTTGCTCGAGCTAATGACACATATTACCAACGGTGGATGCTGCCCAACAAGTGGATGTTACCTATTTTGATTTTAAAAAGGCATTTGACACAGTAGACAATGACGTCCTACTAGCGAAGTTGGCTAGCGTCGGCTGCACACCGCATACCCTATCATTTTTCGTCTGTTATTTACGAGACCGATGTCAGTATATTGACTGCAGCGGACGGCTTTCCGAACCCTACTTTACAAGATCAGTTGTCACTTAGGGCAGTAATTTAGGGCCTTTTCTCTTTATTCTGATAATCAACGATTTGCCTGAAGTAGTCAATAAGTTTACACCCTTGTTATTTGCTGATGACCTGAAATTAGTTTTAAAAATAAAGAATCGGGCGGATCATGACATGATACAGCAGGATATAACGAAAGTCGTAGAGTGGAGTTTGGAAAATAAATTATACTTCAACGTGGCAAAATGTTCTATTCTATCATTCAACCGTGCACATAACCCGAGTCATCATCGATACTATATGGATGGAACTTCTCTGCAACGAGTTTTTGAGGTTAATGATTTAGGCGTGCGATTCACTACCGACATACAATTTCGAAAAAAAACATTACTAATGTTTGTAAAAAAGCATACCGCAACCTAGGGATGGTCTTACGGCTAGCCAACAGATTCAGAAACATCTGTGCTGTGAGAGCATTATACGAGGCACTCGTAAAGAGTCATCTAGAATGTAATGCTGTTGTTTGGTCATCACATGAAGTCAAATATAAATTAATGCTAGAACGTATTCAGAACAAATTTGTGAGATTTATGTATTTAAAACAGTATGGTGTGTACCCGGGTTATCCACTTTTGTACCCTACTTTATTTATACTAGGCGTGATAGGCTATTATAAACTAGAAATAAGAAGGGAAGTTGCTCTCGCCACTTACTTAATAAAAGTGATCCGTGGTAAAATACATAACCCAGGTATTTTACAGATAGCTGAGCTGTGTGTTCCTAATGAGTACGTAGGAAGACGGCGGCGGCCACCGCTCTTGTCGGTGCCGCAAGCGCGCACCAACTTGCTGCAGCACGCGCCTTTGACACGCGCGCTGCGTGCACTTAATGTGGTCTCACAACAGACTGATTTGTTCAGCTGTACTCTGAACGAATTCACAAAGGCCGCTTATTGTAAAATATCTTTAAGTTGTGCATAATATACCTATATTATGTTTGTTCTAGTTTCTTAGTTTGTAACTGCACTATTGTATTAGGTAATACACCTGTGATGATAGTTGTAAGTGGTAAAATAAATAAATATATAAGAGTAAGAGTGAGAGATTGGTAGAGCCATGCTGCAGTTATATTAGTAGTATAGTTGTAGCATAAATAGGTCGGTTCGACCGGGGAAGGACCACGCTCTTATAGAATACCAGCGTGAAATAGTAGCTTAGTGCTGCTGTGTTTCGTATGGTGAGTGTAGAGAACCGGAGACCCTATTTACTGAAAACGAGGCATTCCATCTTAGTCCTCACGGGTGGCTGCATTTTGATTTGTATTCGAGGATAGATGTAGATGTCTATGGGCCGCAGCAACCACTTACCATCAGGCACACAGTCCACCTGATATAGGTGGACTGTGTGCTCGTTTGTCACTATATCCTATAAAAAATATTTTTAGCCCATGATAGACGTAGTAGTATTAGTATAGTGTGTGGTGTAATCGATTTATTTTGGTAAAAATAATTAATTTTTTCCCTGTGGGTGACACTAGCTGTTAAAATCTGTAATAGAGCGCTAAATTTAAAACAAAAAATAATATATTATTAAAGTCAATAATATAATTTATTCTTTTCATCAAAATTAAATGAAACGCTCATGAGACGTGCACTTTTAGATTTTCCAAATATTTTTTTTCTCTTAAGTAGCCCTTTTTAGATTAATTACGATAACGGATGATTTGCCATAAATTTATAACAGGCAGATTGGCAATCACGATACCAACCATCTCGCAACTTTGCACCGTGCCTTCTGTTTCCGGCTGAGAAGGTTATTTATACCGCCATCTATTGCAAAATAAAATCTTCTAGCATTTCTGTGGATGGTTGCATGTGTATTATAATTAAATAAAAATTTTAAACTGAAATTTGTTCAATATTTGTTGTAGAATTAAAAAATGGTTACATTAAAATGGTTTTTAAAAGTTTGTAAGTACTATTATGTGACGACGTTAACGATAAACACAAGGACGATGTTGACGATTGTGAATCACTTAGTAATTCCATATAAATTAAATAACATAAAGTTTAAGAGTACTTATGATATATTTTTCAATATTGCATTCAACCATTTACTAAAATACCGTATATGGGTAGTGACTGCCTCGTTGGTCTAGTAGTTGTACTAGTGCGACTGCTGATAATGAGGTCCTGGGTTCGAATCAAATCGATCCTGGGTTGGGCCAAAAAATCAACTATTGAGTTTTTCCGTCAAGAAATTCTCAGTAGTTGCCCGGAGTCAGGAAGTTGGTGGTGTCTCACCCCCGTGCCTCGGAAAGCACGTAAAGCCGTTGGTCCTGCGCCCGATCTCTCTCCGGTCGTGTCGGTTTACCGTCCAATCGGATTATGAGAGTGATGGAATAGAGAGTGCACCTGTGGTTGCGCATACACTTGAGCACTATAATCCTGTCCTGCGCCGATGGCTAACCTCCGCTGAGGCTGGCTGCCGTGACCGAAATTCGAATTTCCACTTTAGATACTTTAGATCATAAGTTTGCATATAAAATTTATTTATATTAAGTTTACTCTGTAAACAGTGAACTGATGGGTTGGTGATGTTTATGTTTAGTAATTGTTAGTTAATAGTTATAGTTTACATAACTTACTTTTTTATTTTTTTATATTATTATTTTTCTATATATTTATTTAATTTATTTATTATTTTAGTATATGTAATATGTCTGATGTTGAGTCGTTTAGCTCTGCAAATGATTCTTCTACTTTGTCATTTCACTCTTGTAATGATTCTCTTCAACGATAGCGTGCTTAATTTACACGAACTAATCAAAGGAGTTTTTACGTCTTTTAACAACTCTGTGAACATAATATTAACATCAAAGTCATATTAACGCTCGAAGTATCCCGAGCCACTATTCCGAACTAGAAGCTTCATTTTTTCCCGAGTATATTCATGGTATATTAGTGTCGGAAAGTTGGCTGAAACCTTCTTTACCGTCTACTTTATATCCCTTACCCGGCTTTGTACTTGTTAGGAATGATTGTGTTGGAAAAGGTGGGGGTGGTGTAGCAATCTACCTACATGCATCAATTCCTTATAAAATTGTCTTAGCATCTCTCTCCTGCTATTCCGCTTCTTCTGAGTTTTTATTTGTGGAACTCGATGTCAAGGGTATCAGGATGATTCTAGGGGTAGTGTATTGCCCCCCATCTACCGACTACTTCGCCACTTTAGATATGGCTCTTGTTGATATTTGTTCTGAGTACACTCACTGTATAATCATGGGTGATTTCAATACTGATCTGTTGAAAAACTGCCCTCGTTCAAAAAGGTTTCTTTCAATTATTGAGTCGGTTAATCTTTCTATTCTCCCTTTAAAGGCTACTCATCATAATATCGGAACCGATGACTCATTGATTGATCTAATCCTTGCTGCTTCTCCTGAACATGTGATGATACATGGACAGTTACCCGCATTGGGTTTCTCACGCCACGACTTAATTTATGCTATAAGCTTAAACCTCCTAAATATTCCCCTACTGTAATGCATATACGCAGTTTTTCTAAAATAGACTTTGACAAGCTTAGGAATGACGCTCTTAATCTCGATCTAGCCCCTTTAATAGCAGCATCTACTGTTGACGATAAAGTCACTATCCTTAACCACAATATTCTTAGCTTTTATGATGCTCATGCTCCTGTTAACAAGGTTAGATTGAAACGTCCCCCTGCCCCTTGGATGACAGAGGGCGTAAGGATGGCAATGGCTAGACGAAATCGTGCTTTTCTTCGTTTCAAGAGAGATCGAACTGAAGAAAATTGGATATCTTTTAAAGCAGCCAGGAATAGGTGTAATCATATGGTACGTGCAGCTAAACGCCGATATTTCCATAACTGTATTAATAACTCTTCTCCAGTTTTAGTGTGGAAATTCCGAAAATCTTTCGGTCTTTGTAGACCAGCTACATTGGATTGTGGTCCTTCTCTGTCACTTGATGAAATCAACCAACATTTCGCTTCTGTAAAAGCACTGGACCTTACAGTTCGTTCCCAAACTATGGCTTCCATTGCTTCTATGCAAATTCCTAACATTCCTACTTTTAATTTTTCTCCTGTTTCTCAGGATGATGTCAAAAAGTCGATTTTAGCAATCCAGTCCAAGGCCGTGGGTTACGACGAGATTAGTAGACATATGGTAGTATTTATACTAGAGCACCTTCTCCCGGCAATTTCCCATATAATCAATTTTTCTATTGGTTCAGGTCAGTATCCTAATCTTTGGAAGAGGGCTTTTGTAAAGCCTCTCCCAAAAGTTCCTACCCCCATTCTTCCCAAATATTTTCGTCCAATATCCATTCTACCCTTTCTTTCCAAAATTTTAGAATCCTGTGTTTACAAGCAAATTTCTACTTTTGTTTCGAAACATAACCTACTGAGTATATATCAGTCTGGGTTTCGTCCTGGTCATAGTACCACTACTGCATTAATTAATGTTATTGATAATATTAAACAAGGCATGGAAGAAAAAAAATAACAGTACTGTTACTAGTTGATTTCTCAAATGTTTTCAATACAGTTGATCATGAAATCCTTCGTTCCATACTGTCTCACCTGAATTTTGGCCCTACTGAATTGGGTTGGTTTACATCTTATCTTCGCGGTCGACAGCAGTCAGTCAGTGTGGGGCAACTGTCCTCAGCGTGGGCTGATGTGGATGCTGGTGTGCCGCAAGGCGGTATTATTTCTCCTATAATGTTTTCAATTTTTATAAACTTTATTACCTCCATTATCGACTGCTCATACCATTTGTATGTCGATGACCTTCAGCTTTATGTGCAAACTGAGATTGGGGATATCCATAATGGGATCAAAAACCTTAACGGCAACTTAGCAGCTATCAAGGATTGGTCCACTCGTTATGGGGTTTTGGTCAATCCTTTGAAATGCCAAGCTATACTGGTGGGTAGCTCAAGGATGCTGGCTAAGATTAATCTGACAGACTTACCCTCGTATTTACTATGATAATACTACAATTCATTCAGTAATTCTGTTAGAAATCTTGGCCTTCACATCGACAGCACGCTGAATTGGAGAACTCAGGTTTCAGATGTGAGTCGTAAAGTCACTGCCACGTTATGCTCTCTGTATCGTTTAAAGCATTTTCTCCCCACAAAATCTAAGATCATGCTTGTCCATTCACTTATATTACCCATAATTGATTATGCAGATGTGTGTTACCCAGACCTGTCCCAAGATCTTCTGAAAAAGCTGGAACGCCTCCTCAATAACTCTATAAGATTTATCTTTGGGCTTCGTAAGTATGATCATATTTCGCAATACAGATCTAAGCTAAATTGGCTTACAATCCGGCATAGTCGCAACTCCAGAATATTACTTGTACTTTTTTCATATTAAATGATCCATCTTTGCCTTCTTATCTTAAGGGTAAATTTCATTATCTTTCCTCATCTCATGATAGGGTCCTACGCTCTTCTTCTAAAACTGAAGACAACGCATTCTACATGACTCATCTATTTAATATGTATTGCCAAACAGACGTATATATTCATACTCATTTGTATATACTAATTATGTATGTATTTAAATATGTTTACTTGTATGTGTATCCATTTATTTATATATTTGTATATATGTAAGGATAGATCATATATGTATAGTTTATTTATTAGTAGTTTGTATATATTATGTACTTAATTATCATTTGTATTGTGTTATCTTATTCTATATTGCCACACCTACGTCAAATTCTCACCACTCCATGGGTTGACTGGTAGAGAATGTCTCAAGGCATTAAGTCCGCCCTTTGTATTCTTTTGTTAAGGATGCAATAAAGAATAAAATAAATAAAAATATATTGGTAGTGTAACGGAATCAACTTCTCTATAACATCCCGTGGGTTATGTTAGAGGCGACAGAGGGAAGCTGAATCGGGAGATAGATTTTCCTTGATAAGGCGTCAATAGTAATCATAATAAAAAACTGCATGTTGCATGCAACGAGTAGGAAGTCCATTCAAAAGTCCACTGCTGAACATATGTCTCTCCCATAAGTTTCCCCATAAGAGGGGATATATTTGCCATACTTGCCAACTTTTTTACTTTTTTATTTTTATTTAGCTGATAGCAGAGATAATATGATGTTGCCCAATTCCTGGTTTAGTTTCCCTCTGTCGCCGCAAAGATCACCCACAAGTTGATTTGTGGTAATAGATTTCGTACACCGCCACTACACGGTAATTTTCGTAAATAATTAAATATAACCAATACTAACCTTCAATATCCTTTTAATACTATGAAAACTAAATTCTATTGACGCTATATGAAAATAACGTTTCTTACAGAATATTATTGTGACAAAATATTGCTTCAAAGCTCTAAATGCAAAAACCATATTAATTATTTTCTTTAATAATAATACGTAAATAATTCTCTGCTTAATTGGCTCCTTTTACTATGTTTTAAATTCTTTACCAGGCGTTTTGCAACTTTGTCGCTGAAGAACATTTTATGTCTGGCATATACGAGGTGAATATTCCATTTTCCAGAGATCGCAGAAAATTTCTATTAGTCGCCTTTTATATGATGTGAATATGTATATGTTTTAAGTGTATTCTCTTACACCGTCATGATCAATATATTTTCTCATAAGTCCTTAATTCCCAGAAGCTGCGGACCCTTGCTCTGGTGTGTCCTGTCCTGTCGGAGCTCGCTGCGTTGTTACATATGGACAAGCGGAGTGTCGATGTCCACGCAGTTGTCAAAGACGCAAGCCGGTTTGTGGCACTGATGGGAGAGAGTATCCATCATCCTGCCATCTCGACAAATATGCCTGTGACAATCAGCTCAATGTCACGATTAGATATAATGGAAAATGCGGTAAGTACTTTTTTTAATTTATAGAAGAGGGGGCAAACGAGCATGCGGCTCACCTGAAGTATAACGGAATTCACTTTTATTTTCATAGCTATTGTGGGTCTCATGATGATTTGTGGTTTATGCAACCGTATAATTTAATCTCATTTTTTTTAACTAACTAGAATTTTATTCAACCTTTTAGATTGCTTCACTTTAAGTATTACTTTTTCGATTAGGTAAACCAATGAACTCAAAAGATTCCTTTTTATATTTGGCATTTGTTAATTCTTATAAAGCTTCTTTATTTAATTCATTACGTAGGCTGTTACCTCGTTTGTTATTATCGTGATATAAAAATGCTTTAAGTAATTAGCAGAATAAATATAAAAATTGAAATTCCTTACAGCAGATATAAATTTGCTTATAAACTTAAAAGTAAATATTTTTCACACTTTTTGTCGACAACGTCAATTTTGAATATGAAATTATCTTCCTCAGCACAAGCGTTTGTTTTTAGTTAAAATTTATTTATGTGACACTTTCAAGAAAGATTGTTTATGTATGAAAGATAAAGTTTAATGAACCATTTGGTTTCAAAGACAAAGGAAATTTTATTTTAAAAGAAGTACATTTTAATTTATTTTAAAAGAAGTACCTATAAATTAAAAGAATTTATTTTTACGTTATTCTTTTACACTTTATTACAAGGGATTGAAATTTAAATATTCATAAAAAATGTTTGTTATGTCGAATATATTATAAATATAATATTATATAAAAAAAAAACAAAATGCTATGTAGAATATTATTATATTTTTTTACCGATGGAATTAATTAAAGCGGTCGTTTGACCGTGTATTGTTGGACCCGAAGTTTGAGAACATGAATAGAACTCGTTAAGAAGAGGTCCCCTTTAATAATAGACGTAAAGCACAAAAAGGGTCAACATTTCATTTTGTCCGTGTGAGATCACGTGGTCGTACTGAAATATCACCGGGTAACTTATGACCAAGGAAGCGTAAAATTATATCTTTAAATTAATCTTCTTCGTTTTTTCTTGGCTCATAAAATTTCACTGTTGGATATGTGCTCTCTTTCTCTCTCTGTAAAGGGCAAATCTTCCCTAGATTTTCCTTCATTGTTACTCATTTCAGGTGGATTGCAATGTCACAACAGATATAGCTAATCTTCTTTGATGCTGCTTACCGTCATAGTCTTTTTTGGCGTTTGGCAAATACCAGAAAAGCATAACCAACCATAATCGCCTCCTACAACACCTACTCACCCAAAAATGGGGTGATGCCACCACTTTATTCAACGTGACACAATAATGATAGGTGAAATACAAATCCTTCACTTTTTTATTAAACTCTCCTAATGAGTAACGTAGTTTATTTTATTATAGGGTGATCACAATAATGACAAAGCGAATAGGTTTCAAAGTTAAGAGACCAGGTATAGTTTACAGTTAGTGAGGCATTTCACTATAATCTCAGGGATGACAATGCATTAATAGTCTTCTTTTTTTTTGATGTTGGTGATAAGTGTACGCAAGCTGCAGCTTCAATTTACAATAAAATGGACTATTAGCTCGTTTATTATTCTTATAAAATTGAAAAAGAAAACAATCATTTTCTCATGCTTTATTTGTATGAAATTTATTTAATTAACTCTGTTTTATAAACTAGGTAAGAACGACTCCGAACCATTTTCACTGAACATGTACCGGAACATTCGATCTGAACTAAATTTGTTTAATACGGTTATGCTTTTATTCCAACTTGTAACTATTTACTTTGCTATCTTCCCATTGTGCATATGTTAATTTGTTTTCATTTCAGACTTTGCATCCCCAGCGAATACGTATAACTCAAGTTATGAAATATCGTACGAAGGTAGGAAGGTATTTTTTCAACCCAAAATATGTTGCGATAAATTAGGTTAGTGATCCTATATATTATACGGAGAGAAGAAAATAATTTTGGGTTCTATCAAATACACTTAAACATATTCATATGTGTGTTCGTAACTGATATTTTATGTGCCTCTATATAAATCCGAACTAATTTCAAGCTATAAACGAGATAATTTACAAAGAGCCATTTTGAATTGAAATGAGTAATAATGAAATTTAATTACGAGGTGTAGCAAATGTTAATTAATATTAGAGAATGCTTCAAGCTTAGGAGAGTTTTCATTTGTCTATATCGTTATAAGATCTATTTAGCGTGATATTAAATAAAATAGAACAGTATTAAGCTACGAGTGTTTCGTCGTGCGTGCATTGCTGCTTTTCAATGGCTTGCCGCTTTAGTGGCATTAAGTGAAAGACTTCGTTTCATAGGGCATGTTTAGTTTTCTCTGCCATATATTCCTATAATATTGTGTTTTGTTTAGCTCGTACAAATATCTTTGTTTTTACTAAAATAACTATTTATTTGTTTCGTAAAAAATATCTCAACAAAATAAATAATGACTATCAATGAGTTTTGAAATAAAAGTACATCAGGCGTTGATGGTCATCAATGACTTACTATTCTATATTCTTCTATATGAGAACAGAAATGGGCAATATACTTATAATAAATATTACTTGAATTTATCTAAATACTATCAAAAATAATACGATACAAGCACAAAAATAGGATCGAACGAAATTCTCTTTTAAATCCCTTTTAGATTTATGATATTTCTACAAACTATATAAATGGTATTTTTCAAGTTGATATGATGATGTAGAAACTTAAGTTTAATTTTCCTTCCTTCATCTGGAAGTTCTAGAGAGCAGATGTATCATACCTAATAAAATAAGTTTTTAAGTAATATAAATTTTCTATATTTTAATGTATTTTTTTTAAATATAATCAAGCCTGTCTCACTCTGCGCTTCAGGAATGAAAATATACCTACCCTGCGCGGTACAAGGTACTAATTCAATGAAGTTGTCACTGTGACTGTGACGCGCGAGTTACTTCGACAAAAAAGTATTTTTCTTTTATAAGTATTTAGATACTTTGATATTTATTTTGATTTTTATTTAAATACGACCACTCAAAAATCCAAAAGGTACTGCATAGCATACGGGTGCTTAAATAACAATAGGAATATCGACTTTTCATTCGTCACTGTTCCTATGTATACCGAAAGTTAAGATATTATTATTTACAGGTATGTCTCAATAATTATTTGACTAGCAACCGACCACAGCTTCGCAGATTTAGATTTTTTCACGTATAATGTCAACGACTTTAATACTTGTTCAGTGTAAGTAGACCTCCCAGTAGTAGTTACTGCCTACTCATGCAAGATAAGCATATACTGGACGTTGGTTAAACACTTGATCGATAAAATAAAGAGATTGAAAATAGTAGCACTTACCATTGTCACTCTTTCCATAATAAACTACCAACTAATATTGAAATGATTCAATTTGTTTTCTCACAACACCTAACCCTACAGTAGGACCAGCCTTAACAAAGGTGCGTAACGGGCTAAGTGATACAGACACCCGCACGCGGACCGGACGTAAGGTGCTTTTTGATTTAATACGCGCGCCGCATTAATTTTTTTTAGACGCTTGTATCAATAGGCTATTCTCACGTAGTCGATTCAGAGGTGTGCAAAGTATTATGAATATTAGTGACGTTCTAACTAGGTTTAAGCTCGCAAGTTTGCGATCAGAGAGCGATCCTTCTGTTCTTGTATTTTATTCTGTGATACAATTAAGCAACAGACGAGCACACAGTATACTCGATGGTAAGACGAAGCTAGGGCCATAGATTTCATCAATTGTCGATTAATAATCAAAATGCACAGCGTTGTCACTTTGAGGAATGCACGTTTCTAGTATAAGAAGGATCTTCGGTTCCCGTCACTCACTACTTATTATACAGCATTATGTTGCTATTTTACCATGCTAATATGTGTGATCGTGACCTTTGCCGGTCATTCTTACCCATTCGTGCTGCAGTCATAATACGCAGTAAGATTAGATTGCGCCTTACAGACTTTTATTCTGAGATATATGTTATCGTGATCGTCATTGTCATCATCATCATAATTACAGCCCCTCTAAATTTCACAACTGTACATATGCCTTTTCTAAGACACGCCACAACACAATCCTTTACACACACTTCCTGCATGTCTTACCGTCTGCCGTCGCTTCATATAGTAGGGTGCCACCCTACCCTTTGCTCACCGGTACGGAGGTGCTACCATTCAAGAAATATGTTTCGCATTATTTACAGATTCTTCGAGCTATATAGCCGGCCACTGTTACTCCAGCTGTTCCTGTTAATCCTGTTGGGCTGAGTCAGTTACATTGAGAAACGTTGTCAATTTTATTGCTCTTTTTGTAAAATATTATTGACAATGTGAAATTGCAGTAATAACTTTTATCTATGCTATTGAATGCTTTTGGTGTACAAGAGAAATCGTCATTCCGTGGGTGAGACGCAACTCAATGAAAGTCCCAAAAGATCTTGTGGCTTTCGATAGGTGTCGGTTATAACTACGCCAAAATTTTCACTGTAATTGTAATATAGCAACAACGTATATAGAATTAGTGGTAGAGCCATGCTGCCGCTATATTATAGTTGTAGCACGAATGGGTTAGATCGACCAGGGTAAGACCATGCTCTCACAGAATTATTCGCGTAAAATGGTAGATTAATGCTACCGTGTTTTCTAAGGTGAGTGTAGAGAACCGGTGACCTTTTTTATTGAAAACAAGGCATTCTATCTTAATCCTCAGGGTTGATAACTTTTCTGTATCTTGATTCTTAACGTATAATGACGAATCACAACAATATAGTTTATGTCGACGACGCCGACGACGACGAAGTATTAAATTTGTTACTAACACTACCACGTTTTTTTTGATACTAAGCCAATATATGTTATATTGTGAACATGTTTGGCGACTTTGGTTTATATATAGAGGAATTGTTAATAATTTCACCTATTGGATTCTAGCGTAGCAAAGAACCGTTGTCTTGACGAAACAAATTTGATTGTGTTAATATGATCACAATCAGTCGTTCAAAAGTTACACGATCACTAATTGATGCACCAAAAATTATATAATGTATAAAATTTCATTGTTTTTTTTTAACTACGTATTTTGTTCACAGACCCGTGCGCGGATCACGAATGTGCGGACGGAGGAGTTTGCCAATTGAACGAAGCGAGAGCGCCGGTTTGCCGATGCGGTCCTCCTTGCGAGCTAGTTGTGCGGCCAGGGGCGGCAGTCTGTGGTTCTGATTACAAAGATTATCCGAGTGAATGCGCACTCCGTCGCGAATCATGTCGGACCCGCCAGCAGCTCTCGATTGCCTATCGAGGCGAATGCGCTTCAGGTAACCAATTCTGTTATTGAAACCAAATTAGTATGCTTTAGTAATATATATTAGAATTAATTTATATATCAGAATACTTCGAATGTAACGAAACTTGTTTAAAATATGAAAAGTAGATATAAAGTTTTGTAGTTATTTATTATTCATATTTTTAAAGAAACATTATACAATTGCAAACAAAATAGTCCCAATACTTTAATTTTATAGTCATATTCGTATAAAAATATGAATGATCTTTGTTTTATTAATTATTTTTTTTAGGGTTTTAATTATTATGCACGGAACCCTAATTCATTTTCTAAATGAAAATAGCCTATGTTACTCCTTATAATATCAGCTAACTTCCAGTGTAGGACCCATCAAAATCAGTCCGGTCATTTCAGAGATTAGCTGGAACAAAAAAACAGACAAACAAAACATTATAAAATTGTTATAAATGCCATATAAATTTTCATATGCATTTAGTAAAAAGCTGTTATTGAATAAAACTTTAAGAAATTAAAAAAAAAATTAAGAAATCAAAAAGCTGTTATTTCAACATTACAAAGAGACACTTCAATTTTATTTATTTAATATAGATTCATGATATTGATTGTGTACAATAAAGTTTTAAAATTAGCATATTTTGTCATATTCAAGACAGCAATCTCTTAAGCACATAATCTGAATTTTCGTTATCGATTACATGTTTTCACCTCCCGATACCTACTCAATATAAAAATTGCCCATTAATTATTTATACCATGATGTCGGAAAATTTAAACGTATTTTATAAGTTTATATCCAAAGAGCTATTAATGCTCAGCAGATAAAATATATACACAAAGAGACTATTTTGTATAAATTTAGGATTTTAGAAAATGCAAAAAGAAACTTTATTGGGGCTTGCACTGAGAGATATTTGTTTTAAACAAAGGACACAAGCATTAGAAACATCGAATCGCCTCTTTCAGGAATTGCGACGCAAGCGTAATAATTCAATTTTGAAGGTTTTTTTATATTTTTTTATTTTAAGTGTTATTAACTTATCAACCGGAAGGTGTTCGTATCATATTTTATCCGTAGAGTTTCGTCCATTAAGCCATTAGAGAAGGAGCGCATAGCATTAAGCAGATTGAAAATTTCTGTAGCTAAATAGTGTCAAATTCTTGTTATTTTCTTTAAAAGTATTCTTTAACTGAACAATAATACGGAACTTCTAGGCTGTTTTTTTCAAAACAGCCTAGAAGAATCGAATGTAAAAATTTGGGACGTGCAAGCGGGATTTAGAAAGGGAATTGGGTGTACAAATCAAGTATTTTCCATGCGCATGATCGCGGAGAAGGTTTTGGCGAAAAACCAAAAAGTTTTTTGTGCGTTCATGAACTCGGAAAAGGCTTATGACAGAGTGGACAGGGATGTGTTATGGCAAACGCTGAACGCATTTAGGTTGAGCGCTGGTTTGATACAGGCATTAAAGTCTCTGTATAGGGACTCGAGTGCTTGTGTTAGAATCAACGGGGTCTACTCGGACTGGTTTGGCATCCATAAAGGTGTCAGACAGGGCTGTGTAGCTTCCCCGTGGCTATTCAACCTATTTATGGACAGCTGTTTGGAAAATTTGAAAGTTGAAGAATGCGGGTTGAGAATGGGGAGTTAACCATCAAATGCCTTTTGTACGCCGATGATCAAGTAATACTTGCGTCGTCGGCGGCCGAGTTTCAAATGATGGCTATTTATTAATGAACAGGTCATTAAAATAAAGGGGAATGAAAGTGAACGCAAGTAAGATGAAAGTGATGGTTTTTGAAAGAGAAGAAAGCAAAATGGTATGTGAAATAAGAATAGAAGGAGAGTTAATTGAGCAAGTGGATGAGTTCGTATATTTGGGATGTGTATTCAGCAGGGATGGGAGATATGATAAGGATATTGAACGACGAGTGAATGCAGGAAATAAAGTAAATGGGGCTCTACACTCTATTGTGAAAAGTCAGAATGTGCCAAAAAAGGCACGTATGGCAATTCACAGTGCAGTATTAGTCCCTACTTTAACGTATGGTAGTGAAAGTTGGGTGTGGCAGAAGAAGCACAAGAGTAGAATAAATGCAGTAGAAATGCGGTCGCTAAGGAGTATGTTAGGGCTGAATCTGAGTGACAGGGTGAGAAACCGTGTGATAAAAGAAGAGTGTTGTTTGCAAGATGATGCGGTGACCAAGATTAAGAAAGGAATGCTTCGGTGGTTTGGTCACGTAGAAATAATGAATGCGGAAAGACTGACAAAGCAAATATATGTTGCAGAAGTGAATGGAAGAGTCGGAAAGGGACGTCCTAGGCGGAAGTTTGTCAACCAAATTGGCGATATACTAAAAATGGGCCAAATTAAGAGTACCCTTAACTGACGAGCATGTATGCGTAGGTATATAAATGTGGAGGAGGCGAGAAAGGTATGTCAGGATCGTGCTAAATGGAAGTCTGTAGTCTCTGCCTACCCCTCTGGGTGACAGGCGCGAGTGTTTATGTTTATGTAATACGGAACTCTAACACGTTTATAGCATCAAAAGCGAATTGAATCTTCGAAAACTCTTTGGAAAATTAATACCGTTTTGATCGCTTTTTAACCCGTGGAAACTAGTACACATATATTTAGTTAATAATTATTCTTCTCTCAACAGTGTGTCCGTATTTAAATGTGTGATTAATGCAAAAAAAAAAAAACAATAGATTACTTAAACTCTTAATACATAATAAGTTACAAATATATTTTAAAGTGCTGTGACTCTTTTGTAATTTTTAATTTTTTTTACTAGCTCAACATCCATGCGACACGGTTAAATGTGGTGTACGCGAACGATGCTCACTTGACGCACACGGTGTGGCTGTGTGCGTGTGTGGCCCGGACTGTGAGGATTTTGTTCGTCCGGTGTGCGGGACGGATGGTCGTACTTACGACAATCCGTGCTTACTCGATCGTACATCTTGCCTGGAAAACAGGGATATACGAGTGGCTTATATGGGACCCTGCGGTGAGTAGAATTAGTTTGAGAAATTTTACAATACGCTACATTAATACTACAAAAGTCTTACTTACTAACACCTATAAATTTCCTCTGCTTTTCTAAATTAAAATGTATATATATATATATATATATGTGCCGTGTAGGTTAAGAATATCCACTACCCATATCTTCCCGTGTGTGTCGTAAGAGGCGACAGATGGAGATGCAAGGCAGGAGATGTGCAGCAGCGTCTTCCTGATGACAACTGTGACGTAATAAAAAACTGCGGTTGCGCAACCCGCTCGCCAAGCGTGGCAACTATGGCAAATACCCCCCAATGAATAAATACACAAACAGACGGCCCCCAGTCCCCGGCGGCCCCGCTATTCCTGGCTACGGTGGCGACCATGGTAACGGCGGGGCAGGGTTATATGGTGCTAAGAATCTCCGGTGGAGGTTCGGTTGCCACCTACGACGACTCGACCTGGCAACATATAACGCACGCACCCTGAGGACTGACGAGAAGATACTGGAGCTGGAAGAAGAGGTAGACAAGTTGCGCTGGCATATTATTGGATTATCCGAGGTCCGAAGAGAGGGGGAGGACACGGCAATCCTCGAGTCCGGCAACTTGTTCTATCACCTGGAGGGCGACCATCTGTCCCAAGGAGGTGTCGGATTTATCGTCCACAAATCTCTCGTCAACAACGTTGTAAAGATTGGGAGTGTGTCGACGAGGGTCGCGTACCTGATACTCAGAATCACCAAACGGTATTCGCTGAAGGTCATTCAGGTTTACGCACCAACCTCGGCACATCCCGATGAGGAGGTGGAGGAAATGTATGAGGATATTTCCAGGGCCATACATTCCTCCAAAACCTACTACACGGTCTTGATGGGAGACTTCAACGCAAAACTGGGCACAAGAGAAAGCGGTGAGCTGAAGGTAGGGAAATTTGGAGTAGGGCAACGGAACCGAAGGGGCCAGCAGCTGGCCGACTTTATGGAGAAAGAGGGACTCTTTATGATGAACTCTTTCTTCCAGAAGCGGCCCCACAGGAAGTGGACCTGGTGGAGCCCCGACGGTTCGACAAAAAATGAGATTGACTTCATTATGACGACCAGACGCCAACTGTTCAGTGATGTCTCAGTGATCGCAAGGGTGAAAACTGGCAGCGATCACCGAATGGTTAGAGGCACACTGAACCTAAACGTTAAGTTGGAGAGGTCTCGTCTAATGAAGTCAATGCTCCGTCCCCCTCGTGCTCTAATCCAGAATCCCGAAACCTTTCAGCTCGAGTTACGTAACCGCTTCCAGTGCCTAGAAGATTGCAATGCAGTGGACGACATGAACGACAAGCTCGTGGAAACTGTCCATGCGGTCGGAGCTAAGTTCTGTAAGACCCGCCGCAGAAGAACACAAAAACTCTCCGATCACACTCTTAATCTCATGGCTGTTAGACGGGAGATGAGGCTGCAATCGTCAACAGATTTGACAGCATACAGGCAACTGAACAGACAGATCTCCAAATTCATACGGCGAGACTTACGCAACTTTAATACTTCTCGTATTAAAGAAGCGATCGAGCGGAACCAGGGCTCCAAAGTCTTTGCCAGAGATCTTTCTGCCAGAAAGAGCCAACTGTCAAGGCTGAAGACTGAGTGTGGCAACATCGTTTCCGGGACACCTGAGATTTTGAGTGAGATTGAGAGGTTCTATGGGCAGCTGTACACATCATCGTTGGAGCCACACGCAAGTGTGAGTAACGATCCAAGAGCAAGTCTTATCCGACACTATTCCGATGATATCCCGGACGTCAGTCTAAGCGAGATTAGAATGGCTCTCCAGCACCTTAAAAACGGCAGGGCCCCAGGCGAGGATGGAATTACAGCGGAGCTTCTGAAAGCGGGTGGAACACCGGTACTTGAAGTCCTTCAGAAGCTCTTCAATTCCGTCCTCCATGGTGGCACTACTCCAGAGGCGTGGAGCAGAAGTGCGGTGGTCTTGTTCTTTAAGAAAGGCGACAACGCTCTCTTAAAGAACTATAGACCGATTTCCCTTCTGAGCCGCGTCTACGTGCTGTTTTCGAGAGTCATTACGAATCGTCTCGCACGCAGACTTGACGACTTCCAGCCTCCCGAACAAGCCGGTTTCCGAAAAGGCTTCAGTACCGCATACATACCCTGCGGCAGATTGTACAGAAGACTGAAGAGTACAATCTGCCACTTTGCCTGGCGTATGTGGACTATGAGAAAGCCTTTGATTCCGTCGAAATTTGGGCGGTGCTACAGTCCCTTCAGCGGTGCCAAGTTGACTGTCGGTATATCGAAGTGCTGAAGTGTTTGTACAGTAGGGCTACGATGGCTATCCGAGTACAGAACCAGAGCTCGAAACCTATCCAACTGCAGAGAGGTGTAAGACAGGGTGACGTTATATCCCCGAAACTCTTCACCGCTGCATTGGAAGACGTTTTCAAGCTACTGGACTGGAAAGGATACGGTATTGACATCAATGGCGAGTACATCACTCACCTTCGATTTGCCGACGATATAGTCCTTATGGCAGAATCGCTGGAGGACTTAAGCACTATGCTCAATGACCTCAATAGTGCCTCCCAACGGATAGGTCTTAAGATGAACATGGACAAAACAAAGATCATGTTCAATGTCCATGTCACACCTATGCCGGTAGTTGTTGGGAGCACTATGCTCGAAGTTGTTGACGAATACGTTTACCTGGGACAAATAGTCCGACTAGGTAAGTCCAACTTCGACCGAGAGGTCAATCGACGGATTCAACTCGGCTGGGCAGCGTTCGGGAAATTACGGCATATCTTTTCGTCAGGTATACCTCAATCTCTAAAAACTAGATTGTACAACCAGTGCGTGTTGCCAGTGATGACTTACGGATCTGAGACGTGGTCCTTCACTGCTGGCCGTATGAGGACGCTTAAGGTCGCTCAGCGAGCTATGGAGAGGGCTATGCTCGGAGTTTCTCTGCGTGATAGACTCAGAAATGAGGATATCCGCAGTAAAACCAGAGTGACCGACATAGCCCAACGGATTAGTAAGCTGAAGTGGCAATGGGCCGGCCATATAGCTCGAAGAACCGATAACCGATGGGGAAGACAGGTTCTCGAGTGGCAGCCTCGTACCGGTAGGCGTAGTGTAGGGCGACCCCCCACTAGATGGAGTGACGACCTGGTAAGACATGCAGGAAGTCGATGGATGCAGGTGGCTCAGGACCGTGCTTTGTGGCATTACTTGGGGGAGGCCTATGTTCAGCAGTGGACTTGTGAAGGGCTGTAATGATGAAATGATGATGATATATATATATATACACTAGCTCGCCGACGCTATATTAGCTCCCCAGGCAGACGTTGTTCTGCGTTTTTCGACGTCATGTTTTATTAAATACCCTTAAATTTGCGAAAAAAAATTGTGAGTCACTCATGGGTAAAAAAAACTATCCTACCTCTCAAGTTGGACCAAACTGCTCACGGTGTGCAAATTTGATCAAAATCGGTTAAGTAGTTTAGGAGTCCATCGCGGACAAACAACGTGACACGTAATTTATATACATATATATATTTATATATATATATATTTGTAAGCAATGAAATATCCATGAACTTGATAGGCTGTAAAGAAGAAAAAGAAAAAATTTCCATTGTTACAATCTGTTTGTGTATAGGCGCTGAAAATCCTTGCGCCCGCGCAAGTTGTCCATGGGGCGGCGCCTGCGTTTCCCGCAATGGCGCCGCGCAGTGCGCGTGCCCAGTGTGCGATGCGACGCTAGCGCCGGTATGCGCCTCCGACCACAACACATACGGCAGCGAGTGCAAGATGCGGATGCACGCTTGCCAGTCAAATATAAAAGAAAACGATCTACAAGTACTCTATAATGGAACATGTCGTAAGTCTTTAAATATTAAAAAATTAAAAAAAAAATAATAATAATATTTATCTGTATGACATTTCGAACAATATTTCAAAAATATTTTTGTGTGAATTTGAAATAAATACAACGTCAAGTTATTTGAAATATGTAAGAAAACTATTTTTACTTACATTTTACACTAAAAATAAATGAGAATTGGAAAAATAACACATTTATGACCCAACAGCCAAAAAGGGCATTCCGTATTTCGAAGTACTTCTGGCAATTTACTTTTCACTTTTTATACCACAAATTATATATCTACGTGTTTACAAGGAATATAAAAAAGTATAATACTTTCGTTTTTAGTCCAGACACAAATATAAAATTCTATAAAAAAAGACGGAGCTCCTTCATCAAAGCGACACGTGGAACGCCGAAAGTTCAGAGTGATTTCTTTTTTTTTTTCTAAGAAACATTGCCAGGTTATGGTTTAAAATAAAAGAGCATATCTTTGTCTTTGATACTATTATCTATTGCATAGTGTCTTTGGTTTTGTTTTAATTAAAAAAAATTCTTTTTCAAAGGGTAGTACTTGTTGTACACATGTGTACCTCTATCGAGCGAGCGGAAGATGTTTATTTCTTGTACACATGTGTACTGTCGGCGACTTTACAGGTTAACATGCACTTTATGACTATTGGGGTAATATGACGGCTCCATGGCGCAGTGGCTTGGCATTGATTTATGGTGCTGAGGGCTGCGGGTTTCAATCAAAAAAGTATTTACCTACAATTAATTGTTCCGGGTCAGGATGCTTATCCTGGTGCAATTTATGTTTGTAAATGAGAAACTATTTGTGGTCATATTTTGTGCAATAAAAGCACAAGCACGCAGTCCACCTTATTGTTAGCAGATGTTGTAGCCCGTGGACATCCTCATTTATCCTCGATTAAGAACTCAAATTACTTGTGTGGTGCAATTCCTGACGACTTCCTTAAATAAAAGAGCGACAAACGTACACACAGTCCACCTTATCGTACTCAGGGCTACTTTGAGAGCGCCTACGTTCTGACGTACGTATGTACGTTAGATATAGGTATATAGCTGTAGCACGAAGGGGTCGACTTGACCAGGGAAAGACCATGCTCTCACAGAATATCAGCGTAAAATAGCAGCTTAATACTGCTGTGTTTTGTATGGTGACTATAAAAAAACAGTGACCCTTTTTACTACTACATCTGCTACATTGATACATCTGCATTTTGATTCGTAATTGAAGAGAGATGTAGGTGTCTATGGGTAGTTAATGAGCTCGTTCGTCACTTTTAGCTATGAAAAAAATAGCCTTTTTTTCATAGCTTACTGAAAATTTGATGTTCAGATACGACCCTTTAAGTCGTCGTCATCATCATGATCATTAGTCCCCGTTTTTATTAATCTCTGAATCCCATGAGGCTGTTAAAGCCAACTAGCTAACAATACTAACATCACATGATATATATTTATTATTCGACTTTCAAGAAAATTTTGCGATTTTGCTGTTTTTTTGTACTTATTCATAAAATAATCTTAAAGCTTTTAAGATTTGTATAAAATTAAATAGGTTAAAATATTACAAAAATAAAGCCTACATAATTATATTTCATAAAACATTCAAAGCTTAAGATTAAATGGCGTTCCTGCTGCGGTGAATATAAACGAAAGACGGAATCAATTATAAAATTCCCCTTCTAAGGAGAAATCTCTATCAATTTCCGTGATGAAATTCTTTTCTTTTATAAAGTTGTCTATAAAATGCGAACGAAATTCCATCGCCGTTATTAACAATGTATTTTGTAATGGTAGCTCTTTGTACATGAACATCTTTACTTAAACATATTATACTGGTTAATGTGATTACAGATATTTAATTGGGTTGACATAAAAGTTAATATAATATCAATTATTTTAATAATGGTACTTTTAATCTTGTCTAAAACTAATTGTTTACAATATAAAAGAAGAGACTATAATATAGAAAATCTAAAACGCTGGCTGCGTTTCCTCGCTGAATAGCTATACTTAGCCTTTGAGCGAGGAAAGAACCAGCCCTCTTATCACCAGCAACGACGACCAGTCGTGGATACAGTTCCTTTAGAAATTTCATTGCACGTGGACCCCAAGGACCGATAGTCTCTACAGCAAATGGCACAAATATGTAGTAATTTCTCAAAGACTCATATTTGCGCCATTTACTAAATTCGGCTGCCTCTGATGCCGCCCCGGCTCTAAAAGAGGTACTCTTGAGATGAGAGGCCGCCAAAGTGTCGACGCAAGTAGCATCCCACACTAGGGCTTTACCTCTCTCCCAAGGGACCAAAGTCATACCGTCGGGTCTCTTGCCATCGTGTCTAAATATCCCGCAAGGCTCTAAAACCGAGGGGATATTTATAGAGACAAGAGCCCTTGGGATGATTTCGTTCAAAGAACCGTGACGGGAAAACCTACCTGCACTTTTCTTGCATGAAAGTCCGTGGAGCCCAAACTCATCGACGCTGCTACCACAGGGGCACTGATGAGGTTGACAAATAGCCACTCCTAGCCGGATTCCTACGGCGATGCGCAAGCTTATCCCATCAAGCAATGTGCCGAGATTACTTGATGGTAGAGCAAAAAAAAATTACTAGATATTTAATAAAGAATTTGTAAAGCTTATTTTACTAAGTAACGAGACACAGTGTTAAAGATAAAATAAATGTATATAAACTGTGGTCCCACAGTACACACAATGTTTTATACATTAGTAAAAATTTCATAATTGAATTATTCATCTAGTAATTTTTTCTAGTTAAAGTTTAAGTAGAAGTCGTAAAGGATTTTATAAAATAAAAAGTGGGGCTAAATATTAGCAGATTTTTATGATAGCTACTGTTAAAACTGGTCCCTCATTCTACACGTCTCCATATCATATGCTGTGTGATGAAAGGACTAGAAGGTGTAATTGTTCTTACTTTTTAGTAATAGTTTTGTACTAAATAATAGAAAACTTTGAATAGTGTATTGAAAACTTATTAACTAAGACACATTATATAAATTCTATGCAAATACACCGGTTAGTGTGACCATAAAACAATTTATTTTTATTTTTCTCGAACATCTTTTTTAAGTAACTAAAATAAAAAATTATATCTGATTTAGAAAATTAAATATTGATGAAGGAAACAGGAACTGCGTAACTTGTAGTGACAAACTTTGTAATGTATCCTATAGTCACCTCTTACGCTACAGTACGAAAAACAGTTATGGATTCTCTTACAGCGCTACCACACAGCAAAGGCAGTTTTTATAGGACAAGTGTGACAAATGAACACAGTCTATGTAGTAGATGATAAGTATTTGCTGTGGCCCATAGACATTACATATTTTCTCAATTATCAATCAAAATACGGATGCGTTGTCACCCGTAAGGACCAAGATGGAATGCCTCGTTTCCAGTAAAAAAAGGTCTCCGATTCTCTACACTCACCACACAAAACATAGCAACGTTAAGCTGCTATTTTACGCTGGTATTCAGTTAGGGTGTAATCCTGTCCCAGTGGAGAGAACCTTTCATGCGATAACTATACTAATAATATAGCTGCTGCATGACTCTCATACATAAATATTTGTTTCTTTAGGTTCAATTGGATAAGGCCGTGGCTTAATGAATCTTAAGATTATTTTACGTCAATCCTTTCAACAATTTTAAAGAGCTGATTGTCATGGCAGGGGTAATAAGCAAGACTTCCGGGAATTAATGCTTGAATGAGCTAAATTGCACCAATGGATTTGCAGATTTTGTTTTTTTTTCTGAAATTTTACGGAGAACATTAGCAAAAAATAATTTTTGCCGTAGGTGTAAATCGAATAAATTTATTTTTGACAACTCGTTTTTATAACAATGTTAGTCACTATAAGTGTATTACTTGTAGTGATCAACATTCACATAAGTTCCTGTTCCGTTCATCAATATTTTTAGACATTACTAAAATACTGATACTAAATATTTTTTTAAGTCTATGATCAAAGATAAACTTGCAACTACTCTTTTGATTTTGTTTTATCGACAGGACGAAGTTTAGATGCTGTTTAGTGAAAATTGCAACTAAGGTTGTTTTTTATTTAATTTTTTCGAGTTCGGGGTCCGATAAGGTTTGGCATATGTTACTTGCTCTGAGCACTGAGCGACTACGCTGGTTTCCGTTCCGAACTAAGTAAAAAATAAAAAGATTTTCGAGAAAAAAAATCCTTGTGTGTTCAATAACTAGTGCATTATAGAATTTATACAATGTTATTGATTATGTTACTTAATAAGCTATCAATATACATACATATATATATATATATATATATATATATATATATATATATATATATTATTTAGAACATTACTAATGTATAAAAACACATTGTGGTTACTGAGGGGCCACAGTTTCTATATTTGTTTATTTTATCTTTAATACTTTGTGTTTTATTACTTAGTAAAATAAGCTTTACAATTTTTTTTACTAAGTATCTGTTATCACATCAAATTAATTTTTAAGATATAATCCGAGATCTGTCTGATAGACTGTATCAACTGAGGGACCACACTTCAAGGGTTTTAAATTTTTATGTTCTTTTACAAATTCCAAGATTCGTTGTACAATTGTTTTAGGCCTAAAATTAAATCCTTAGGAATATAACTGCCGACATAAGTCGTGAGCACACTTTTTATTGGTCGATACGACGTTGACCACGCTGACGTTTAACGTTATTGGTTCATTAGTCGATTCTCGTCGTCCATTGGTTTCGAACGTATCATTCGGCTTCCGTACACTTCAGAGCAATAATTTTAATGATCACTTTTTTAAGTTTATTTTCGTTAATTGTTTTTGTCAGCTCGTTGTTAATTGTTGTTTGTGTATTCCTTGTTATTAATTGTTTTTGTTATTTCTTGTTTTTTATTATTTTTGTTGTTATAATTTGAGTGTTCAGATTTTGTTCTAAATATGCAGAGAAGGAAGAATTCGGTG